AAATCAACTTTAATGATGACAAAGTTCCACTTGGAATATGTGAAAAATGTCGCTCTTGTTTAAGAAGGAAGGAAAGTGGAGAAGACATCACACTCCCATCATTGTATAAGTTTGAGACTATAAAACTTCGACCAGAAACTCGAGACTCTCACTGTAACTGCTTGATCTGTTCAATTGGTAAACTGAGACACAATGGTCAAATGAAAATTGAATTCGCACAAAGTTCAGCAACTAGAACACCTTCTTTAACAGTAGAAAAAAGATGCTCAGACTGTTTTTCAATTATTGGTCGAGGATTGCCTCACAACTGCACAAAAGGCACTTTGAGAAATAATCTTGTTGCTGTAGTAACAAAGGATCCTTTGGCATCAGAAAGAATTGCAGCTCTTGTTGTTTCAAATAAAGCTCCTTCTCCTCATGGAACTGTTCGATTAAGTCAACTTTATGGTGGAAGAATGCTTCCAGTAACACCAAGTATAAATTTTATATAGTTTTTTATAGTTCAAATTAATGATAAGTTAAATTTTTAACTTCTTGTATTCACTATAGGTTCGTCATCAGCTAGACAACTTTTCTCTTCAAATTCATCAATAAGTGTAAAAGACCTTGCTAACGTTCAAGCAAACACAGGGCTTTCAAACAATGGCATTAAGAGGTTAGCAGCTACTATTAATCAGTCAACCTCACAACAGATTGTTGAAAAAAATTACGCCATAAAATTTGACAAATTCAGCAAGCAACTTGTACATCATTTCACAAGTTCATTAATTCAAGATCACGCTGGATGTGTGAGGACAGTCATACATTGCAAGAACTTCCATGAGCTTAAAAATGAAATTATAGCCATGAGAAGTACATCAAAAAATCACATTGTAAAGGTTGGAATTGACGGAGGAGGTGGGTTTCTGAAAGTTACCCTGGGAATTATTGAATTAAATCATGAACCTTGCATTCCCCCAGCAAAAATCAACTGCACAAGCAAGGTTTTTAAGGACACTGGTGTAAAACAACAACTAGTCATTGCTGTCTGTGAGGAGCTTCAAGAAAGTTATACTAACGTTTTGCAAGTATTTGAGTTGATTAAATTGAAAGACCAGGAGTTTGTCATGTCCTGTGATCTAAAACTTGCTAATATAATTTGTGGGCTTCAAGCACACTCAAGTGCACATCCCTGCACCTGGTGTGAATCTGGTTCAAAAGAACTTGTAAATCAAGGGAAATTGAGGACTTTTGAATCTCTGGAAAAAAATGTCTCACTCTTCAAGTCAGCTGGTTCCAATATTAGAAAAGCTCGTGACTATAAAAATGTTGTTCATTCTCCAATATTTAAACTACCTGGAGACACTTTGGTTTTGAATTTTCTTCCTCCCATGGAATTGCATCTCTTAATTGGAGTTTTTAATCATCTTTTTGCTGCGCTGCTTCAAGTTTTTCCTCGAGTAACTCTTTGGTCTGATGCATTACACATTAAACAACAACCTTACCATGGTGGACATTTTGCAGGAAATGAGTCCAGAAAGCTGCTACACAATATTGATATTCTTCAATCAATTGCTGAGAAACACTCATGCTATGCAGCCATCCCATTCATTAATGCTTTTCGAAAATTCAATGCGGTAGTATCTGGCTGTTTTGGGTGCACCCTTAATCCAAACTACCCACAAATAATTGAAGCATTCAGAGTGTCTTATCTGGCATTGCAAAATGTGTCTGTAACACCCAAGGTCCATGCAGTATTTTTTCATGTAAAAGATTTCATCGACAGATATGGCCAGGCTCTTGGGCTTTACTCAGAACAGGCAACAGAAGCAATGCATCACAACTTTCAGATACATTGGCAAAGGTACAAAAGACCCAATCATCATCCAGAATACAGTAAGAAGTTGCAATGTTGCATTGTTGACTTCAATACTAAACATTGTTTGTGAAAAGTCATTTTAAGAAGGGATTTGAGAATAAGTTGTTTTTGAATTTGTTCCATTTAAAAGAAACTTTTTTTCTGAATATATTTTATGTTTGTTACTTGTATAACTTCAAGAATATATTATTTTGCTTTCCTTGTTTATATTTATGTAAATTGGAGATTTTTAATACTACAAAAAGGAAAATAAGCGCTCATATTGCATATTTGTGCAATCAATAAAGTATTTTATTAAACGCAAGACGTGTTTAACACGTTTATAATACGTTTTAATACGTATCAATACGTATATTAAACGTTTAAAACACGTTTTGTGTTAACTAGGATGAAAATTCAAATGTAAATAACTTGCCAGGACGTTGTAATCTGATTTTGATACTTATATCTAAGTGATCCGCATAGTAAGGGCTATCATTCCGCCAAAGGGTTTTCCCGGGTCAGAAAGTTAAGGTTAGAACCTATTTTATAACACTGTGCCATCAACTTTAAATATTTATTTCAGATAACGGTGGTAAAGATACATTAATTTTCTTTCAACGAGAAGGGTAACGCGGGGCAAAATGAGACAGCGGGGTAATACAAGACAGTTCGTGTTTAACATGATGCCAGCCCTACAAATTATTATTTGCAAGATTTTTAAAAGTGCAGTTGTGTTCAAAAACAATTTTGTGTCAAGAAAAATATATTAAATCACTTTGAAATAAAAAAGTTGAGTAAAAGGGAAACCATTTCATCCCTCGGCTTCGCGAAAATTACGAATTTTTAAGTGTTGTTATTATATTATTTCCTAGCCTTTTTCTAATATTATTAATATTAGATATCAGCAAATAAGATACAAACAGAGTGTCTCGTTTTGGCCCGAATCATGTTGGCATCGAATAACCTAATTTCCAGACTATTTTATTGAAGAAAGAAAATACCAAAAAATGGAAATGAAAGAAAAAGGCCTAAAGATTCTAATAAAAAAAAAAAACTTTATATATAAAAAGCATTCCACTCAGTGAGATCAAAAAAGGCTAGGAAAAAATATAATAACAACACTTAAAAATTCGTAATTTTCGCAAAGCCGAGGGATGAAATGATTCCCCTTTTACTCAACTTATTTATTTCAAAGGGACTCAATATATTTTTCCTGACAAAAAGTAGTTTTTGAACACAACTGCACATAATATTATATTGTGCTTATTTAATTTTTTTACATTAAAACAACAAACAAAGCAAATATTAATATTTACATGCTGTAGATTTAAATTTATTATACTGTATTTACTTACTTTTTATTTTGTTAATTGAAATGTTTAGTTGTTATCCAATATAGAATTACGTTTTATATTTTGTTAACTTATATTTAAATATAATAAATATTTAATCAAATTGAAGCAAATAATTGCCTGATGTTTATAATTACTATGTTTGTATTTTATAATCTTATTGTATGGTAATGTAATAAAGTAAGTAGTATATAAAATATATAGTGAGTAGATTATAACATATAGCAGTACCTATAAACAAAATACAATAAATATTATGCGTGCTTTAAATACAAAAGTTTAATATATGCATGTATGGTTTTATTAGTTCTTGCAGTGGGTATAAATATATATATATATATATATGTATATATATATATATATATATATATATATATATATATATATATATATATATATATATATATATATATATATATGTATATATATATATATATATATATATATATATATATATATATATATATATATATATGTATATATATATATATATATATATATATATATATATATATATATATATATATATATATATATATTCATATATATATATATATATATATATATATATATATATATATATATATATATATATATATATATATATATATATATATATATATATATATATATATATATATATATATATATATATATATATATATATATAAGTGGAGTCAATGTTCAAAATGCATTACGTGAGCTCATTCGGACTGTTGTTTGTTTCAAAATACTGGTCAAGCAATACGCGATTTATGTGACAAGTGACAGTTTGATTATAACTGTAATATTTTATAAAATGTATTTCTTGCTAATCCTAAAGGTCTGTTTTGTTTAACTTTATTTATTTAAATTACTACAAAAAAAAATCTGTCTCATTTTGCCCCAGTATGCGGGGCAAAATGAGACAGGATAGATGCTGTCAATAAATGATCTCTGGTGACCAAACCACTGCAGTTTTGCAACTCATACTTTTCAAGCTTCAAGTAGAATGGTAGAAGAATTAAAAAATATCAAGTTATTTTTTCAAAACTTGTTAGACGCGCCATATTAGATATATTAGCGCTTAAGTGTCTCATTTTGCCCCTCGCAATTTCTTTTAACTTAATTATTTTATTATGGCTCTTACAATATCCTATGTAAAAAGTTTTTTTTTTTTTTATTTTCCATGGATTTATCGATTATAGCAACAAAAATAAAGCTTAAATAATATAATTTGTAGTAATTAACAGTGCAATTATGTCTTAAGATATGGTTGCATGTATCACCTTTATAAAGTTTATCTGAATAAAAAAAACATTTATTTAATATAGATATAGTAACTTTTCTATTGTTCATTGAACTTAATATATAATTAAAAGTATGAAGAACATTCACCATATTATATCTAGATACTTTATAAATATAAAACTTCTATTTCAAACGTAAAAGTATGATTTAGACATCTAAAAAAATTATCCTTTAAAGCTACTTAACTACCGCTTTTTTTTTACTTTTATAGTTTTCATCTTTACCATAAATAATCAAAAAACCCTGAAAACTTATTAATTTGCTACAAAATGCGGTCTTGAAAGTAAACAGTTTTTTGTTTTTAAAATAAAAATTTAAAAACAAAAAACTGTTTACTTTCAAGACCGTTTTTTTGTAACCATGGGATTTTGGATTAAATCACTTTTTTGCTTTAGAACTAAGAATGATTGTAATTTGATGAAACATAGTCTTTATCTTTAGCCGTATTTATCTTTTTTTTTCAGTTTTTGATTTACATGTATTAAACACTTAGTAACGCAACAAAAAACCTTAATAAATTCTGTTATGACTACCAAGAAGATTTTGTTTCTATTATGGTTTAAATAACAACAATAATTTAAGTTTACTTTAAAAATGAGCCATTTGAGCAATTCGCTATAAACAATTAAATACATTCTTTAAACCAGTGGATTGTCTTTGGATCAAGGTAGGAATTTTTTGCTTTAATTCATTATACATTGTTAATAACTTTTAATAAAACAAGAAGTCAACGTTGTTTTAATTAAAATAAACTTAAAACCTTGAAATGATGCTAAGTTGATGTTGATTTGATTTAGAGCGTTTGGGTGAATAAATAGGTATACTCATTAACCTGAAAAGTTTTACGCTTACATAAACTCAAGTATTTACACAATTTTACAGAAGTTTTTTTTTATTATTTACTTTCTTAACGCTGAGGTACAGTCGAAAAGGCTGTTCAATTTTTTATTTTTAGCCGTTGCCTGTCTTAAACTAAAACCTTTTAACTTCATAAAACGAACCTTGACGTCCAAATAAAATCGAAGAGCAAACAAACAAGTTGAGTGCAATACTACTTGGGACAAAGCAAGCGCACTTCTTTTGCATAAGTTGATGAGTACACATATACTCACATATATTTTAAACAGCAAGGATATAATGGCCCCGCACTAGTCCTGTGTAGGCTTACTCGCTGGACCGACTGCAGCTGCCGACGCTGTTGAGGCTCCAATTTACATCACGGATTTTTTTTGGCAAAACAGTGGCTAGCCACTACAGGACAAGACCCAGTGGACACAGACGTAAAAAAGACGTTTTTTTTTAAACAACTTATACACGTTTTGGACGTCTTTTGAACGTCTTTTGAACGTTTTGGACGTCTTTTGAACGTTCAAAAGACGTCTTTTTTTGGTCCGGTGCCCACTGGGGAACTGGCAGATCAACGGCTAACCAAAACTACAGTTATTGAAATTTCTTTTTGTGACAACAGTCACGAACAGAATGCTCTTAATTATTCTATTTATTAATTTTTTCTAGGGGATTAAAATACTCTTTGCTTTTAATGTATGAACTAGATTTTATCGCCTACATTTAACAATTTTTTTTTAAACCTATTTAACCTAGCAAGATTATTATTATATAATCTTTAATTAATAGTAACTATATTTAATAATAACTATATTTACAACCTAACATTAAAACAAATTTTAATTTTAACCTTCTGAATTGGAAGTTGATGGTAAACTAGAAAATATTTTATTGGTCACTCTTGAAAAACTAGTGTTGTGACCAAAACTAACCAACGGAACTAAAAAACCTTAACTAAAACTAATCGACTAACTTTTTAGTTGAACTAAAATTAACTAACTTTTTAGTTAAATAAAACAACTAATATTAGTCGACTAACATTTTTTGGAATTTAATTGAAGAAAGCATTCCAAAAAGAATCTAAATTATAATTTTAACTTATAGTATAAACTATCAGTTTTATGACCTCTGTTTTTTTTACCTGTAATTTTGGGTGATGAAAAGAATAAATAAATAAATAAATTTTAATTAACTAAAATTAATCGACTAACTTTAAAATTTTAAAATAAATAATTTTTAATATGTTTAAATAATATGTAATATAATTAATTAATATATAATATAATTAATTAATATATAAAATAGTTAATTTGGATTCATGATATTATTTCTAATAGAATTTTTATACATATTTGTTAATACATAGTCTTTTTACCAAAAATAAAAATATCAATAAACTTTTTTTTTTTCTTAGTTTTCGGTGCCAAAAATTTAATTTTGCATAAATATTTCTTAAAATCTCCAAAAATTGAAAATGTTAAAACACAGAGTTAAATAAGCTACAGAGGTGGTTGAAACCATTTTTAAAATAAAATATCTTAAGGAATGTAATACATAAAAAAAAGTTATTTAAGTTTGCTATAAAAATTGTCTCTATTCCATAATATCGTGACTGTTACGCAAAAATAATATTTATAAATCTGGTTATGATTTACTTGTGAAGTGGTTAAATTGCCAAGTATTTATTCATTTGCCTTTACAAGTTGCTGTAAGTTATATACAGGTAGGGGCTGTCTATTAATTACGTCAACAATTTTTTAGCAATTTTACCTCCCTCTTTACATTTGTTAATATCTAATCAAATTTTCAGAGACCTCATCCCTAAGCCCCTCAATAAAACTACGTCAACATTCTATTTCAATGATAAATCAATTTCAGTGTTAAATATTTATCATAATTTATGTACAGTGCAGAGTCACAATCCGTGAATATTACAATCCTCCTCACTTTAACTGTAGACCAAGTCCGTTTTTACAGTGAAGGTCATTTATTTATAATATAGTCTAGTATGACAAAAACGCATTTAAAAATTGCATAAAGCAGGGGTCGGTAACCTTTTGAGACGAAAGAGCCAAAAGTTAAAATTTAAAAAAAGTTTCAATTTTTAAAGAACTTCCAACAACTTTATTTAAATGTTATATTAATATCATACGAGGCTTGCGAGCCGCAAGTTGTTGACCCCTGGTATAAACATTTAAATAATATAATGTAGACTATATACTTGCGTAAATCTTTTTTGTTTGCTCATAAGACAAACCAACAACAACTTTGAAAAAATAATAGAGTTACGTGTAAACATCTCGTGTGTGCTTATGTAGTTCTGTATGTATCTTTTTAAAGCACAACACGACAACACGACAAAACGACAACACGACAAAACGGTTTAAATAGTAAGAATATAATTAGCTTTATTAAAATACTGAAGATTGAGTAAGTATGTAAAACTAATATCTTTATACTTTTAAAACGTTTTAAAATATAGACTCATCTACTTTATATAAGCGATTAAAAGTTTAAACGTTTATAAGCGTTAAAACGTTTATAACGTCAATGAGCGATTAAAAGTTTAAACGTTTAGAAGTTAAAAATTTGTTCGATAGTCCTAGAAAAACAAACACTCTGACAAAACTATAATTTTTTTTTCAAAATTTTTTTTAAATAGTCAATTTATCACGTAAAACAAAACTTTGATGTCAAATATTTAGCATTTGTTCTCAGTTAATATTTTAATTTCTCGTTAAAGACAAACGTGGAACTGGGAGGCAGAAGTATTGGAGGCGGCCTTCATGTGGTTTTGTCTCCCTACTTTTTTCTGGAGGCGGCCACTATTGGCTTTTGTCTCTCTATTGGCGTCGGCCTCCAAAATATTTTGCCTCCAAAAAAAACTCTGACTTCAGCCGCCAATAGAAAAGCGGAAGCCACTGGAGACCGAATAAAGAAAATTTTGCCGCTAAAAAATGTTTGGGTGGCAACCGCCGTTTGTTGCGGAAGAAAAGTGAAGGCGAAAATATTTACGCTGTTTATCAACACTGTTGTCAATGCAACAAAATTTATGGAATGTCTTAATTGATACCTCGAAGTAATGGTTTTCTGCTTTATACTAGATAAAGAGCTTTTTTAAACAATATTAAATAATCAAACAATATACGTTTATATCAAACAATAATACGTTTTCTCCTATTGAACACACCACTTCAATATCCAATTTAAAAAAAGGATTGGAAAAAGAAATACCTTAGAAAAACAAAACCCTTTAAATCGTAGTGATGGAAAAACCAGTTTATCCGGTCAAAAAGAAATTGAAATTGATACAGTCCATTCAAGACGCAACTAAAACTGCATTCGAATAATACTCAATTGAAGAGGAAACATCAAAATGGGTATGCAACGAATGTAATAGTAACAGATATAAAAGGTGCTCAAGTAAAACATCGAAAAGTATACTATTTTACCATCTTGAACATAATCACGAAATAAGAACGCCGAAAAAGAAACGAAACATAAGTGACTTGTGAAAAGTTGATAAAAGTCTTTTAATTATTTTAATTCATTATTGCTTGTTGTCTTCCATTTATGATGGTAGTAAGTTATGCCTTTAAAGATTTTGTTTTATATTTAATTTTAAAGTACAATGTGCCTAGCCGAAAAAAGTTAAGTACTCTTTTAACTAATATAAAACGAAAAAAAGTTGAACATGAATTTGAATTTGAAGTTAAATTTATTGTCAATTTAAGTTTTATCTATAACTACCAATTGGTGGTAATAGATAAAACTATGATTGGTGATCCTGTCAAAACTCTAGTTACATATCAGCAACTGCACATTTCATTACAGACAACTAATTTCATCAGTTTTTGTTTGGGATTTGTATATCTTAATGAGTGCCATGATCCAGATATTTTAAAAGAGGCTTTACTGAAAATCCAAGAAAAATTGGCTAAAAAGTGGCTATCGCCTTCCTTCCAACATTTCTATTGATTGCTCCCGCCAAAAATGTACTATTGCCCTTTGAATGTCACTTTCTGTGGCTTGTGAGATTGGGGGACTTCCCATCAGTGCACCTATAAAATTAAAGCACACAAGACAACGTGCATATAAAATCAAACGAGGTTATATTCTTAAACAAAGCTACATACTCTTGGTTTGTAAAAATGATTGCAATAAATAAAAAAAAAATGTAAAAAATAAAAAAAAAAAATTAAAAATTAAAATATATATATATATATATATATATATATATATATATATATATATATATATATATAATAACAGTTGAAATAGTAATTACAAAGCTAATTAAAAAGAAATTATTTCTAAATTTACTTAAATTAACTTTTTACATCAACATAGGGGAAAGCGGGGCAACATGGCGAACGTTTTGAAAGCTTTGAGTTATTGTAAAACTATCAGTCGTAAAGCAATAATATTTTCTCAGTATGTTTATGTTATTAAAATCCTTCATTGCCTGCATGAATTTCCAGTTTGCAAATATAACAATTTAAAATAAATAATAAAATAAAAAGTTTATAAATTTGTCATCTGGTCACGTGACCGGGGCAAGATGACTTATTATGCAATTTTTACCTCCAATTTTATAAAATTTTAAAAACTAACAATAACTCTAACTAAAGTAACAAAAAATAAACACAAATTGCAAAAAACTACTTCTAAAGAAGGATCTATTTCTAAAAAATCCATTATGAGAAACCGAAAGTAAGGAATTTTTTTTAAGCGCAAAAATTGAACTTTTGCGTATAAAATTGCGTTAATAATATTTCAAAAAGCCAATTGGCGTTTTGAAATACAAGATGCAAATACAGT